GGAGGAGGCAGGAGCAGTAGGCAATAACCGAAAGCTCTTCCAGCTAATCCGCACCACTGGTCCCAGAAAACCAGGCGTCAGTGAGACAATCAGAGACAGCGCGGATGCGCTGATACACAATAAGGAGCGCCGTATGGCTCGTTGGGCGGAACACTTTCAAGATCAGTTCAGCTGGCCCCCTACTCCCGGACCTCTCCCTACTCAGGTGATGCAGGACGAGCCATAGGCAGTTAGTTTAGAGCCTCCATCGGAGGCCGAGTACCGAAACGCGATCACAGCCCTTAATCGTTTTCGTGCTGCTGGCCCGGATTCCCTCCCACCTGCACTATTTAAGGATGGAGGTGAGGTCCTATGCAAAGCACTGACCTCCTTATTCGAATGTATCCGGAAGGAAGAGAGTGTCCCGGCTAATTGGAGCGAAACGATTATAGTGGCAATATACAAGAAGGGCAGTCGCACAGACTGGTCTAACCACAGGTGTAGTAGCCTAACGCCAGTTGTGACAAAATTACTGGCCTCGATTCTCATTCGTCGCCTCACTGCGGAACGGGAATCTCGGATTAGGGAAGAGCAGGCCGGTTTCCGCCCAGGACGTGGCCGTATAAACCATATATTCACTTTGCGGCAGGTGCTAGAGCAGAGCAACGCATATCGCAGATCGACAATAGCTGTGTTCCTCGATTTCAAGAGTGCGTTCGATTCAGTCGATCGATCGGTTCTGATCGAAATACTTGCGCGGAAAGGTGTTCCCACGAAATATGTGAACATCCTTCGTGCTCTATACTCGAACACTACAGGCCGCGTCAGGGTTTACGGTGGCCTATCGGATAGCTTTCCGACCACAAGTGGCGTTCGTTAGGGTTGTCCGATTTCCCCATTTTTGTTCAATTTCGCTGTGGATTCTATCATAGCGTGTTCCCTTACGGAATCTCACGATGTAGCCGTTGAGGTCTTGCCTGTTGAAAGGTTAGTTGATCTTGATTATGCGGACGATATTGTCTTGCTTTTCGACGATGTTGGGGCGGCACCATCAACCCTGAATAGCCTGCCCACAGTGGTCCCATTATTTGGTATGCACTTCGCACCTTCAAAGTGCAAAGTGTTGCTGCAGGACCACCAGCCACTCGATGACCCCTTGACCCTTGCTAACGAGGAACTCAAGGTGATTGATCATTTCACTTATCTTGGCAGCTGCATCAGCAATGATGGACGCATAGAAACTGACGTCAGCTCACGCATTGCAAAAGCCAGAGCTACCTTCTTGAATCTGCAGCATCTTTGGCGACAGAAGGGAGTTTCCGTCCGTCTGAAAGACCGCGTATACAAGTCCACAGTGAGGGCCGTTCTGCTCTATTGTAGTGAGACTTGGCCGCTTCGGTCTAAAGATCTGAGGCGCCTTCAAATCTTTGATAATCATGCTAGCTCCCTAGAACAACAGATAGCACTGAATAAGTTGAGTTGGCTCGGGCACGTGCTACGCATGCCTGGTCACCGCTTACCTAGGAGGGCCTTGTTTAGTCTGCCAGGTGTAGGGTGGCGCAAGGCTCGAGGTGGACAGAAGTTGACTTCGCAGCGGGAAATGAAGTCAATGACAACCAAACTGGGTGCCGTTGGTCCGTCTCGCCTTCGGGGCTGGAGTCCACGCGACTCGCTTTTTGCTTGGCTCGAGACTTTACAGGACATGGCTCGCAGTAGACACCAGTGGCGCGTCTGCTGCCGTCTCCTAATCGGATTGCCTGGTTAAATTGTGTTTGGTGCTGAGTTATCTGCGGGGTAATGACGGATTATGACGCGTGGCAGTGAAAGCCACAAGGAAGTTGTCTCGCCGATGCCGCCTTATCTTTGCACGATAGCCAGCTATTTGTGACGGTATGTTGTCTACACAATGTGTAGGCGCCTTGACCCTGAATGTTTGCTGAGGGCATTAAGGTTTTCAGGTAAGCCCCTCTTCTCTCCCTCTTCTTATTCTTTATTTCATAGGTCCTCAAGGTTGTATGGCAGCGAAGCATCAGTTCAAATGGCTGATGTACTGCTGTTGATGATGATGATCGCTTTACTTGGTGACGATCCTTTAGGGTTTGCAACTCATTCTGGATCGTTTGGCGGTTGAAGCATCTAAGTATAGCATGAGCTTCGCCCCATCGAAGTGTAAATTACTGCCCAAGGATTGGCTTTCACCTGCTCCCGTGCTCACTCTCGAAGGTGCACAACTTGAACAGGTAGATAGTTTCGTCTACCTTGTAAGTTGCGTTTCTGTAGACGGCACTATTAACAAAGAAGTTTCTCTTCGCATCGCGAAAGCTCGATCAGCATTTGTCATGCTGAGGGACTTGTTGCGTCGTCGCGACGTCTCATTCTCGCTAAAGGGCCGCGTTTGCAGTGCATCTGTTTACTCAGTGTTGTGGTATGGGTGCGAGTCCTGGCCGATTCGCGTGGAAGACATGCGTCGTATTTCCGCCTTCGATAACGGTTGCTTAAGGAGGATTGCTCGTGTTTGGTGGTAACATCGAGTTAACAGTAATGACGTTCGAGGTCGCATCTTGGGGGATGTGAGTATTCCCTTCAACAAACTGGTTTTGTTGCGCCAATTGAGATGGCTGGGTCACGTCCTACGCATGGCACCTGAGCGTCTACTGCGTGGCACTCTATTCTCTCGTCAAGGACCTGGCTGAAGGAGACCGCGTGGTGGTCAGCCTTCTACATGGCGGCAGCACATGAAATCGCTGACGTCGTGTCTAGCCGCTGTTGGACCCGTACGTCTCCCAGGATGGGGCCCAAAGATGAGGAGTGCCAATGGCTTAACACTCTTGAAGACATGGCCCGCAACCGGAATCAGTGGAAGAATTGTGTACAGTATTGTACTGATTCACATGTTTAATACTTCAAACATTGAAAATGACAAAAAAGAGAAAATCGGTGCGTGAAAAACAAACTAAAAATGTTTTGTTCTACATTTTGTCAAAATGTTCCTTTCTTTCTGCGGCATATTAGCTGAAGTGTGTTGCTCACCTTCAACTACTATGCCACGATGATTATGACGCAATGACTCTCCCTTATCCTCTGATCTCCATGGTTTTCTGTTGGCTCTTTGTCTAGTTGCTAGACTGCGTACTCACTCGTCCCCCCTTGACCAAGTCATCGCTTGGCCTCCTTCCTCCTCTTCAATCCGCACCCCCGGCGCGCAAATAACCCACGTCGAGGGTGTCAGTGTACTGGCATCCACAACATGTGTCCCAGCCATCGCAGCCTGGGGCGTGATATAATGGTGAGATAATTGACGCGGAGTCGGGGAGCAGTAACACAGAATATAAGGTGGACACACCGATACGCAGCCGCGGAAATTCTAGGGACAGGGCAAGCACGAAAACACACTTGCACGTGCAAAGAACATACTGCAATGTCCAGAATCTGAAGAGCCTTAAGGTGTAAGTTGAATGTGGATCAGGAGGATTTCACGCATACTGCAAAGTAGCGCTATAAGGTCATTGTATCTTGAAACTTTGCCTTGGTTCCATGCGTTATTTTCTCTCATTTTCTCCGAAAGTTGCCAGATATTCTTATGACGATGTAAATCGTGGTGATTGGGTCCGCAGCACGGCGCTCGTGCTATAGTTGGTTGATTTAATTGATCAGAAATTATGGGGTAATTAGTGCACAGCCCTCTTGGTGGTGCTAAGCACGTGACTTCGTCATGAAATAGCCGCCACATGGCTGGTACGTATCTTTCCCTCAAGATCATATATGCCACGTGTGCAAAAGTGTGTGGACCGAGTACGGATCGATCGTGACTCCAATTCACATGTGCCTGGTCTTATTTTTACTGGTTCACGCCGTTCAAGAGATTCGTGGGTGTTGATGCGCATCCTGCAGCTGTTCAGAGTCAGCGACAGGCGAACCCCGAAACGGGTGCTGTTGCTACTATTATGATAAAAAATTGGAACAGACATCAAATGATGTTTAACATACACAAATAGAAACTTGAGTAAGTGCTTATCTGCCGATTCGCGAGGCAAAAGTACAATACCAAGCATTCAGCACAAGTACCCTTTACCTACTGTCTATGGTAAATTCAAAAGAGCAAAAGAATTGTGTGGAATATTTGGTCAGTATTGCTATCTTTTTAGTGTTAAAACTGCTTTTTTCACCGCAGACCGCTTGTGACAACGTTCTACTCGTATCACTGATGCGTGTTATGGCTGTGTTCATTCGCATAGGGACGTAAAGCACTTCTGATTCCACTGGTAGTGACTGGTGTCCGCCACATTATCAATCTTATTTCACAGCTACACCTTAAACAAGCAACCAGGCTATGCCACTGCTGGCCGCTGTGTTTTATGCAGTAGCATCACGGGCAACGCACAGAATCAGTCGAACAGACCCCAGTATGAGAGGTGGATTCGACTGATTGCACCAAATCTAGTCGTCAGCGACTTTGACGAATTCGATAAGTTAACAAATTCATCTCCCATTCTGTCTGGCAAGCTGGTTTCAGAACTGTCAGATGCAATATCGAGTAGGTAAACACCTACGACCGCAAGTAAAGGGTCAATGTTAAACTGCACGTTGTGTGATTGGATTGCGACGCGCAGTCTCAATGTGGACCGCGATTCACACTGGAGTGAATCGTGGTCACTGGGACCGTAGCCGTAGCAGATGGAAATTGGGTGTTGCCTCTCTACCCCCCCCCCCCGAAAACATTGCACAATCTATTGCCGTAGTTTTAAAATAGCAGAAGAGCGAGAGTTAGGACCGCGACCACGAGAACCCGAGCCAAACATCACAGTGCGAAATTTTCGTGTCATTCTCTGGGACAATGCACAAAAAGAATATGACGGAAGATGCTCTGCCTATAGACCTGAAGCATGTGGTTTGTAAACCAAACAATTTGATTGTGTAGCTTGAAGCAGCCAATCAATGTAGTCAGTCGGTTGATTTACTAAGTCTTGCACTGCATAACAGATGATGAGTGGAGGAGGGATAACACAGGCAAGATTGACACGTGCGGATGATACACCTTGTACGCAAATTTTGAGTGCAGTGTAGTGTAGTACAGAGGTCATGTATGACTAACACATGACAAGTATGCGACCTAATCACTTTGAGAGGACCTCGGTTACGTTCGGGGTCTTTGCTGGAATTACGCATACGACGCTGCCTATGCCTCAACTTGGATCCAGCCCTAGAGGTTAAATGATGGAATACGGTGGCATCTTCGTCCACAGAAATGGTTACAATTGCAAGTCTGTTACCTCCAGTTCTGTTGTAGGCACTCCATGATAAGATGGGACTCCATCGTGCACTATCAGGAGTACATATTATAAAGTTAACGGAACGTGGAATTTACTTGTAGTGTATATTATTTTCGTGCAATGTGTAACATTTTGTTCGTGAAATCAATCATTGAAACAATTCATGCAGTGGGATTTGCAGTGACAATAATTCTTCGACCGGGTTTGAACAATGTTGCCCGCGGCAACTCACTCGCTTATGATACGCGAAGACAGCACAGGATCTAGTTTGGATTTAACAATGGCCATGATGCACTTGTGAACTTCGTCAACTGTTTTGTTCGTCGCCTGAACAAAATGCCATAGTTGAGGGTTGATCTGTTGATTGATGGGACGGCCGACATCTAGGTCACTGTAGTCTGCATACTGAGCGTCCTTGGATAAACGAACGTAATTCTCGAGAACGCGTTGTTGAAAATCGTCTGTTTCGTACCGTTCGCCGCCGTATCCATCCCGCTCCTTAAGATGCTCGAAACGTTCGGGAGTGAGGCAAATAACAAGATCAGGTTCAACGAGGCCCTTTTCCATATCGCAACACCACTGCCAACTTGGCGTTGGAGGCGGCTTGGCGGCAGTATAGGCTATTCCTGAGTAAGTGTACCGATCAGCGACTACAGGTGTCCCGTGGGAGAGAGCTTGCCGCATTTCGTCCTGTCTTTCCCATCTGTAAATGGAAAGCAAAAATCGGTGAAAGCTCAGGGTATTAGCACAAAAATGAGCAAGAGACGAAAAAAATGCATTACCGGGTTGGAACGGGCTTTAATGCTGGAAATGCAAACCCCTACATCGTGGCTATATAATATTACAAACAAAACCAATAGGTTCTTTGGAGATGGTCGCGGTTCGGTGGTAAGTTGATCTAAAAAAATCCAATGTGATGTTACCTTGTCAATTAAACAAACATTTCACGATGAATGCCCTAAGTTCATGTCAAGTGAGAATGACTCAATATAAACTACGAAGATCCTGATATGATCGATAACAGGACGATCGACCCAGGTAAGGTACAGTAGCCAAGGAATAACGAGCAAAACCACAGTAGACAAGCACCAGTGAGCTAACCTGTTAGCCGTGAAAAGCAAATGAAGCGCGTGTGTGTCAATCTTGTGTGATCCCTTGAGGTAATCGTCCAAACACTGACCAAGTGTGGTTTGCCTGTCTGGAAACTTGACCAATAGCGTTTTAGTTCCTGTCAGCTTTGTGAGTGCATCCCCGAGCATTGACGCCTGTGTGGTTTTTCCCGTACGATCAGCACCTTCAATAGCTATGAAAATACCAGGCCCAGCCTTTGATTCGTTCATAGACTGCTGAAACAAAGCCAGTGTATGCGATATACACATCAGTCGGTATATACAGAGCAAATGAGTTATCTGATTATGATTCAAGAACCAGAACATGATCGGTCAATTTACTTTGCTTCAATTCGTAATAGTAGTTGACGATGATGGAAGACAATTATAGGGATGAACAAACAGACGAAAACACAAACAAAATCGATAGAAGTGAAGCGAGAGGCATCGAATGGAACACTGAAAGTTGGAAAAGAGTACACAGAGTAACACCTTGACTGGGTGTGGAAGAATATGTTTCGGATGGGTTTCAGCCGCCAGAATAATGCATGGAGTAGGAGACTTACTCCGTAAACTAGGCCCATATGAACACTTAAGGACCGCTGATCGTATGCTGTCAAAATAGCAGTCCTCACGTTCGGTGGCACGGTGTCACAACCCAAAGTTTTTGATGAGGCATCACTATTTAGCATTCGTTACCAGAGCCTGAAGAATGTCAAGCGGGACACAGACCATTGTAGGATTCTAGCAGACAGCCAACAAAGAGTATGAGCGCTTTTGGTTAAGATATTTGACGGATCACTAATTTAAATGTCTCCTATTCACTAGTGCTACATGGTGACCGCAAAGTGCTCAGATTCGCACACAGTTCCTCTCCAAGTTAGAGGAAGATCAACACAATACGCTGAATTCTCTCACAGTCAAGAAAGATTCTTCTACGCAGCCATGTGACAAGTACTAAACGAAATGCAGCAAACGAACTCATTCTGAAACCCCAGAACAGAAAACTTACTGCTTACCGGTCATGTAAGGAAGGGAATTTCGCAGGATCCTATTCGTTCACTTAATACACATGTTAGAAGTGCCACATTCGGGGTCGTAAGCAAGTTCGATCAGTGAACAGGGAAAAGTACTGTTCGAAGAATACCACCGCTGCAAAGTGCCTGTCAGTCGTTGGTTTTTGTGGTAGGCTCAAACCCAGTCGACAGATCAGTATCATACCAACGAAATTCCGTCGAGGCTGCGGTTTGACACGGCCTCGAACATAACCATTGTTTTTAACAGTACGTGGAACCGAAGTAAGTAGAAAATTGCTGTTTCTGAAAGCATTTAACAATGTGATTAAGGCGACATTTTCAAACTGCACTCAAGGGAATGGGAAAGACTTGTACTTGCTATCTGACAAACCGACCGAAACTCAGTCTTCCTGAAATGGACCTACTCGGAAAATTAGGACTTTCTGATGTCCCTCTGATACGGATTTACGACCTGGTCCGAATAGACCCAGTTGCTTCATAGAAGCAGGATAATAGCCTCGGTCGAAAATGAGCCCGATGTCAACCTTATCATAGGCGATGCATCACACGATTTGTGTTACTACAGAGACCGTACAGTTCCACTAAACTGTAGCTCTAGTATCAGAAGAGAGATTCGCTCTCCATTGCGATCGACTGTATAATGACAGAATTGTCATCCTGCGCTATGCAAGAGCGCGCACCTCGGTGGTTTTATGAAAATGTCCGGAAGAAAACAATAATTTCCCAAAAAACATTATTTTAGCGATGAAGCGATTGTTACCGACTATCGCACCGATTTCGAACATTCTGGAGCGTTCCAAAGCTGCATGTGACCGAACAACTTCCTGAAGATTGGCCGGATCGGTATGGCATTGTTATATTTACCGGCTGACTTCCTGTTCCAGAAGTCGAAGATCATTAAGTGACTCATGAATACGTCCAAGGCCTGTCTCATTTGTAGAGTGCTCTTGGTAGCGGTTAACAGGGTTATTTGTCAAGGTCGTTTGAGTTCTGATTTTTCCTTCGGTTGGGTTGGAGGCCTTGCGGAGATGGGCTTTCATCCGGAATCACAACAAAGTTGGAAGATCTAACAAATAGCGACGGAGAAAATCGGAAATGTGATGAAATTGTCGTGGAACAATTTCAGACTGCTACTGTAACAACGACCCCAAATGGAAGCTCAAACAAAAATGTATGAAAATTTGACGCAGTGTTTGAGTCTGCAGTCTACAGGAGCAGCTGTGCGGGACACGCACGCCAATTCTGTTGATCTCCTCACAAATGGTATCAGTGAATATATTAAAATGTGCGTCTAAAAAGTTCAGTGAGTGGCTCTACATGGCCAAAGGCGCACTGGTTAGGGTGAAGTACCTGCGTACACACACATCGAAAGATATCTTAACAAGCCCACTACCGTGCAAATCATCGAAACGAAGCAGTGGTTCAAGTCGAGACCAAACTAATGGAGTCAGTGTGAAAAATCATGTCATTGCAAAATGGGGCAACGAGTAAACATGAAATGTTGCTTCATTTTAGGCATAACGGCGACGAAGAGTCATGAAATGTTAGTGCAAATGAACGGAGTTGAAGCAATGAGTAAGTTTGATTGGTTTAAACGCTTTAGAGACGGAAAGGAAGGCGCCGAGGATGAGCCGCATTCGGGTCGGCCGTCAACAAGCGAAATCCCAGACAATATCGAACGAGTGCGAGGGATGCTTGTGGTTGATCGGCGGCTGTCTTCGGGAATAGTAGCAGAAGTGTTGAAGGTAAGCAAAGACGGTGTAAGTAGGACTGTTCGCGAACATTAAAATGCGGAAGATTTGTGCGCAGTTCGTACCGCATACGCTGACAGACGAGCAGAAGCAAACTCGGATGTGAATGTCCGGACGTTGCATCGACATATCTGGTCGGAATCCGCAGTGATCAACTTTCTTGCTCAACGCGTTACTGTACTACAACACCCCGTATTTTGACTATTCTCAAATTTGGCGTCGGCAAACTTCTTTTTGTTTTCCCGCTCTGAAAGGCTTAGGTGTCACAGACATTGCAGATATCTAACAACGCGTGACCACGGTGCTTCGAGCGACTCCACAAGAACGCTTGCTGACAGTTTCCGACAGCTTTACAACCGATGTAGGAAGTGTGCTTTAGCTAGTGGTGACTGCATTGAAGGCCAGTAAAGGTATTCTGTTCTTAACTCTTGTTCCCTTTATTTTCTGAAACCGTTTACTGAACTTTCCAGGCGTACCTAGTGTGACGCTAAATGTAGACACTTTCGAAACGTGATTCAAACGCTGGGAAGATATCTTCCGTGCGGATTTCATTCGTCTGGATGATCCCTGAAAAGTGCGATTGTTACTCCGCAAGCTAGATAAAAATGATTGTTCACGGTTCATCGAGTACATTCAGCTAAACAGGCAAAGTCTCACGTTGGGCGAAGCAGTGTGCTAGCTCCGTGAAATCTTTGGAGTCAGCATATTTGTTTAATATTCGCTACCAATGCATAAAAATTGTCATGGGGATCAACAAGTGGCTGGCGGTCCTGCAGCAATACTTTGCAATTCGAAGGTACGAAGAGCATACCAAATAATGGGACCACTCTAGACAGGCTATTCAGGGTTGACTCGGCCGCCACAACATCGTTAAAAAGCAAGACGATATCGTCCGCATAATCAAGATCAACTAACCTTTCAACAGGCAAGACCTCAACGCCTACATCGTGAGATTCCGTAAGGAAACACGCCATGATAGAGTCCACAACGAAATTGAACAAAAATGGGGGAATCGGACAACCCTAACGAACGCCACTTGTGGTCGGATAGCTATCCGAGAGGTCACCGTAGATGCTGACGCGACCTGTAGTGTTCGAGTATAGAGCACGAAGGATGTTCACATATTTCGTGGGAACACCTTTCCGTGCAAGTATTTCGAACAGAATCGATCGATCGACTGAATCGAACGCACTCTTGAAATCAAGGACCACAGCTGTTGTCGGTCTGCGGCTGCGTTGCTCTGCTCTAGCACCTGCTGCAGAGTGAATATATGGTCTATACAGCTACGTCCTGGGTGGAAACCTGCCCGCTCTTCCCTAATCCAAGATTCCTGTTCCACAGTGAGGCGACGAACGTGCATCAAAGCCAGTAATTCTGTCACAATTGGCGTTAAGCTAATACGCCTGTGGTTAGAACAGTCTGTGCGATTACCCTTCTTGTATATTGCCAGTACAATCGATTCGCTCCAATTAGCCGGGACACTTCCTTCCAGATACATTCAAATAAGGAGGTCAGTGCTTTGCAGAAAACCTCACCTCCATCCTTAAATATTGCAGGTGGGAGGGAATCCGGGCCAGCAGCACGAAAACGATTAAGGACTGTGATTGCGTTTCGGACCTCGGCCTCCCACAAAGGCTCTAAACTAACCGTCCATGGCACGTCCTGCATCACCTGAGTAGGAAGAGGTCCATGCACAGGGGGCCAGCTGAACTGATCATGAAAGTATTCCGCCCAACGAGCCATCCGGCGCTCCTTATTGTGTATCAGTGCACCCGCGCTGTCTATGATTGTCTCACTGACGCCTGGTTTCCTACGTCGTGGTGCGAATCAGCTGAAAGATCTAGTGAGAATTGCCTACTGCTCCTGCTTCCTCCAGTTCTTGACCCCGACTGGTCCATCAGGCTCGCTTGACAGCACGCAGCCTCTGCTTTAGTTTGCGCCTAGTAGTCCGCCTGGTTACACTGTGCTTAGAGCCAGCCGGAAAGTTTCTTTTGGATTCTAATAGTTGCACCGATCTCTCAGATATCCAGTCACTGATGCGGTGACGATTGATAGTGCCAAAAGCGGAGGCTTCTGCGTGTTGCATGGCGGCAGAGACCCTACTCCAAAGAAGCTCAGGGACATTAGGACAAGAGAGTAAAAGTTCGGTAAGCAGTGCATCCAGGTATCCTTGCCTGATCAAGGGTTGGTAACTTCTCAGTTGCTAATAGAGGAAGGTGCTTGGTACACCTCCCGGTAAAGGCCAAGGAAAAACGACAGCGTACCAAGACATGATCAGAGTCGACGCAAGTACTTCAAAACGAGCAACTGTCCAGGATGAAACTACGCCACCTGTAACTTGTGGCAATGTGATCAATTTGGGTCCATTGCTGGCCAGCTACAGGAGAACGCCAAGTGGCACTTCGGCGCCCACTGTGTCTAAAAGCAGTGCTACTAAGAAACAAGTGGTACTCCGCACACAGTTGCAAAAGACGATCGCCGTAGTCAGTGCGTTCGGAGTTAAGCCCATAATTAACACCCGGCTGAGCTTCTAAAGAGCTCAGACGAAGTACTTGCACGTCCATATCCCCTGCAAGAACTGTAATATTCGAACTGGTAACACTGCGTAGTCATCATCACCAACAGCAGTACATCAGCCATTTGAACTGATGCTTCGCTGCCATACAACCATGAGGACCTGGAAACCTTAATACCCTAAGCAAACATTCAGGGTCAAGGCGCCTACACCTTGTGTAGACAACATTCCGTCACAAACAGCTGGCTATCGTGCAAAGATAAGGCGGCATCGGCGAGACAGCTCCCTTGCGTAGTAACGTGTCCAGTACGTGGTAGAAAGCGTCCTTCGCAACATCAGAGTTGCAATCGGTGGGGGCATAAGCGGAAACCACAAAGAAACAGCGTCTAGTGCTACTCCGTGAAGCAACCTTAGCAGATGTCGTCAAACGCACTGAACACAAACGGCTGCTCACTGGAATCCAATCAACCAACGATGACCCGGCCTTGGAGCTGAGAATAATGTCCACCCCAATCTGACCAGTGATTGCCGCATCAGCGCCTCCGGATGCGTGCAACCAATAGCGACAGGATAAACCAAGTTCAGTTAATTCAATAACCACTTGGGCGTCATTGGTCCTAGTTTCAAACACACAACAGACGTCAATAGTCTGCGTGACTAACGTGCGTGCGTGAAGTCTGTTGAGCTATTTGTCATAGAGTGCGAACGTTGAACGCCGCCACGGAAACGGGATAGTGTGTTTATATAAAGAGCTGCTGACGACTAGTGTCCATTGCTTGGTGCGATTAACATAGATGTAGATGGTATGACTCCAGTGACATTGCGATTTCTGCCAATTAAACTGGGAATTACAAAAAGGATGGCTAGTAACGGGGACTGGGAGAGGAGTAAGAGAAATAGTTGCATGTTTTCGCTTATCCACCCTGCTGTATGCAACAGATAAAGCGAATCTTGATAAACTACGCGACGGCCGATGCAGGATATCGTTGAAGTTTGAAGAAGTAGTCATGGTTGTACGTGGGCTAGTACTACCAGGGCGCCCAGACTAGACAGGATGACGATTAAATTCTTCAACCAAAACCTTTGGCTCAAAAGCCTATCCGCAAAGTAGCGGATGTGGCAACGATTCGGTTGTATAGAAACAGATGCTACCTGATATCAACCACCCAACCTGGAGGACCAAGAGACTGAGTTCGTCTGACTTCTAACCATTGACCAACCGGGTAGTCATAGCTTTTAAGAGGCGCAAGGGCCCAACCCAGTATAGCTCAACGGACAGACGAGGTACGCAAACCGTCACATCACGTCATAGTTCAGTCTCTCGTGACGCCACAAGTCAGGACGGTAACAGAGTGTGCACCCGCAAAAACGGCCAACTGCGTGCGGAATTTGGCGACTTTGTACTTTATTATATACAATACAGAATAGCATCTGTCCATACAATAAACCATGGAATGAATGTACATAATAAATATGAAGATTACAAACTGGAAAAAGACAAAGAAGTTTTGTTTTTCGCACGCCGTTGTCTTTTTTGTCAATTAAGCGACCACGGCGTTGATCAGTAGAATCAATGCATGAACTCATGCAAATCTTCCATTGTCCCGGATTACGCGCCATGTCCTCCAGTGTCTCCAACCAGCGATGTTCTTCATCTTTGATTCCCCAGCCCGGAAGATATACGGAGGCGACAACAACTAGGTTGTAAATCAGCGCCTTGACGTTTTGTTGCCATGAGGCAGGATGATTACCGCGCGATTTCTTTCAGACAGGCCCCGCGCAAGCGTATGGAGCGCACCGT